TCACATCACACATCTCCTGATGCTGGTAATTTTAAAATGCAACATCAGATGTACATTTTAATATGGGTAACCAGATACAGGTTGCATATACCCTTCAGCTTGGAAATTTCCTGTTCTTTTTCTTGCTGCAGTTGTAAATATCGCTCCTTGTGATCATTGAATGTTCTGCTAAACTCTTCTCCTTGTTTTCGGTGATCTTCCTCAAGGTCAGCATGCTGTTTCTTTAGTTCTTCATGTTGACTCTGCAAATACCAAAGTTGGACACTGGAAAAGCGTTCTGCATCTGCATATCTGGCTAATATTGTCTTTGGCAATTTGTTAAGTAAGTCTAGCTGAATAGGAATCATTCATAGCAAGAAGTTTATTATTCAAAGCATGCATATTACAGATCCTCTCCAGCACAAGATGATCTCTGTGGTGGGTAGTCTCCTGTTCTAAGGCGACGTCATCTCACCTGGCAGTTGCACTGTCCCATTGGGAACAGCTGAATGTGTGTCTGAGAAACTCCTTATATGCCAAACTATGTACAGCCTGGTAAATAAGCGTTCCGTACAAGTAATTGTATTTGATAGGATTAAACAACCCACTGGAGAACATGGCTCGTAAAAACTGCCCTAAATCCATCTTCCTTTTGTAAAAGGAAGGCACCATCTATGTACTGACGCGCTACAATAAACTACCAGAAGCCCATGAGACCACATTCCCTTGAAAGAGAAGGATACCGGTGTCCTATGAAACTGGCTATCTCGGTTACCTACCTTCAACATCTGGTGTTGTACACTCAGTGCACTGTATCGGCTATTTGAATCTTGCTGTAAAATGAAAATACTAGTGTTATCAGAATACTGTCATGCCCCTAATCTCTGTACACGCAGTTATTCGGGAACCACAGAACGCTTATAACTCTCCTTGGAATCAAATTAATCTCTCCACGTGCTTTTAAACATAGCAAGTATACCTACTTTGCAGGTACTGCAGCAACAGCGTATTTTGTGTTACATTACTCTGCTCTCAAAGTTCTCCCCATTTTTGACCCAAAGTAGCCATAAAATACTAACTTACTGTCGTTTGATAAAGACTTCTCTACATTGCCAGATACAGTTTTCTTCTGGTACTTTGCATATATACTGAGTTTGTGGATGTTTTTTATACTTTCCAGTTTAAAGACCATTAGTCAGAAATCTGTAGCTAAGTCCACAGGAAAAGCATAAGTAACAAAGCTTTCTGATGCCTCATCTCTCCCCCTGCGTCACCAACTGGTAAATTATGTTTGAGCTATTACAACATAAATGGAAGTGTGCTTTCCAAATTAATTTTCCATAAAGAAATTACTATTTCTTATTATATCAAAGCATTAGGATATATCCTACTAGAACATATACTTAAATAGGCAGAGTGGAAATGGAGTAAGAGCTCCTTCAATTAGCATTCTGTGAAACCTCTCCATTTGAACAGTTACAATTGCAAAGCATTACTTTTTTCTTGTAACTCAAGCAATATCCAATATTATTAAAATATTAAAAATTGATACTAAGAATAACAACTTACCCTTCCTTTATTTAGCGTTTCCTGTGCTTCAAGTTTATAAACAAGAAAATCTACAACATAAAAGGGAAAGCAGGAAGGTTAGAATCTGTACTTAAATAACACATGATGCAACTATTACACATGTAAATTCCCTTAAGAGCTGAATGCTTATGCAGTTATAACTTTTCCAAAAAATCCTCAGCAATTAAAATGACTTTAACATAATACTCAAAAGTTTTGTCAAAATATTTTCATATGAAAACAGGCTAGTTAAGAATATATTCTAAATCTTAGTGTGAGATATAGGTCAGAAAGGCTCTGGATTACAAGGGGTAATTAAATCATTACATAAATTCTCTTGGTAGAGGTCCAGCAGTATCATTCAAAAGGAAAAGAACGTTTATAAACTGTCTATTTTATTTTCTTATTAGGATAAAATAAATAAATAAATATATACATATACACACACATACACACACACATATATATACATGCACACACAAACACACAGACTTTAAAAGAAAAAAAAGTTTAGACTAAGTTTAAAAAGACTAAGTTTAAACAAAATTTTCCCTTTTATTCCTTTATACTCTTTGTCAGGATTTGAAAATGATGACTCACCTTTGCATAACTACAGATAACTGTCACTAGATGGCACCAGAAAGCTATTTAGATTTGTAGGATAAGAACTATTTTTTGCAGATACTCTTAACCTTTGCTAAATTAGCTGTTTTAATTCAAAGGCTGAGTCATTCACTTTAGGAAGAATGCAGACTTCACTCTGAAACTTGTGGTGCATTTAGAGCAACAAAGTTGGAAAAACTCAAAGGATTTTACTTTACAAAAATGCCATGGCGGCATATGCTATGAAAAAGAAAATACAGTATCATAACAAATACAATGTGTGCCAGCACTCGCCCTCTCACACACACATCCAGCACAAAGATTCAGGAACTTGGTTCTATTCAGAAGAGCTATTTAAGCATGTGTTTACCTAAAAGCACGTGTAAAAATATCAAATCAGAGTCTAATTTCGTGTTTATGGAATGCATGAAAAGATCCTATTACTGGTACAGGTTTTAATTTTTTTAACACTATAACATAATGAGATTCACACAGCCCATATCTCGTATACATGCTTGGATGCATGTACAGCTACATACATGTTTTCTCTGCATATACTACACCATGTTGTAGTGATCTGTAAACAGTACTAAAAGTATGCATTCCACAGATTTGCCAAGGTGGTCCTGTTAACATGTTATACACTGCTGTCTCATTTAAAATTGAACGAAATAACTCTAAAGCTAGGTTTTAAAATAGGCAACTTAATTTAGATGTTAGAGTGAAAAATGCACATTTTACCTTCTTTTGCTTTCTTATGTTCAAGCCTTTCCTTTTGTAACGATTTTTCTAATCTTGACCTGTGCTCATATACAACTGAAAAGAGAAAATTTTGTGAACAAGTAATATATACTAAGAAAACAATATTCCCACCCCCAGCAAACCTGAAGAGCGTTGGCACAGGATGTACCAGAACAACACATAAGGTCATAAGGTTTAGGCCTGCGTATATCATTTGAGACACTGATGCTGGCCTTTTCCCCCACTATATTGATCCTGAATTTTGGGTTATCTCCATTCCATAAGCATGGAATGCAATAAGCATGCAATTAATTTGTTTATGGAGACAGTCAGTTATGGTGGATCTACATGAAACCTACCAAGTTATCTTTCCACCTCAGGTACACATGTGCACCTTTTCTCATGCTTTCTTTCTCTTCTGCCGTGTTTGTAAGGAGATAAGGAAATTAGAACGATCTCAGTCAGAACGTTCAAGGGGTGAATTCTGGCCAGGTACCATTTGTCACAAGGAGGGAACAGAGATTCACGAGAGCAGGACAGGTTAGAAAGTTAGGATAGCACAGTAGACAGACTGTTTAGTCGAAGACAGGGAAAACCTAAGACAAATTCCCAAATTCTTCTGAAAACTTGGACAACTCAGTTTTCTGAGGCCTTGTTTCTCTCCTGTACAGCCAGGATAACAGTATCCTTTTACGAAACAGTGCTCTTGAAGACCAACGGACTGCTGAATGGAAAGCTTAGGTACAATGCCCTCAATTTCTTAGCAGGCGTATGTTGTCAGCAAGCTGTACACACAAGCCAAAGCACCCTGTACTTGCATAAAGTATCTACATAATCTGATGAGGATTCTGGTTTTTTGGGTTTTCTTCTCCTCGTGAAGGGGGCAAGGTGGAAAGAACTAGAAAAACTCCACACAGTTGGAAGACCAGGTTAGCTAAAGCACTTCCATTGTGCAAAACATTATGCTTCTCAGTAACTCTAGGGCCACTGGTCAGGAAATCATTTTGGTTTGAGAATAACACATCTTCACTGATTTTAAATCCATTCATGTGTTTTCTTTAACTGGGTCAAAACTCCCATGCAGTATTCTGAGAAGTGGTCTGTGTACAGCACTTTAGGCAAAAGCAACAGGGTTTTGGGGCCCAACATGCATAGTGCATCCCATAAAATCCTCAATAGACCAAGTATAACAGTAGTCACACAGTGCATCACTCTCTCCTTCAGCGGAGTCATTTACTGGAAAGAAAAAAAATTTTTTTTTTTTTTTGCAAAGATGCTCTGAAGTTTTTGCCAAAAATCTGCAAGCACTTTGAGCTCATATGGCTACCCAGAGAAGCATTTCTGCTGCTTGTTCTTGTATTATCTTTACCCCCTTCATACTCATTGCAAGGGGTGGTGTGACAGCAGCACCTAGCAATTGGGGGCAGTTCTAGCACATAAAATTTTTCAGACAGGGGTAGTAGCTTCTACCAGTGGCCCGGAAATGTTTGTGGCATGACAAGAGACGTGCCGGACAAGATCTGATCACCAAAGACAGAAACAACGTTCTCAACCATGAAACCCCTCAAGCTAAACTTTCAGATTTGTCAAGTCTCATGAATATTAGGATGTAAGTGTCACAGGACCCACGCGCTAGAATAACGCCTACAGTCTGCAGTAAACACTTTGCTCTACAGACATCGTTCCATTCATTAGACCTGATGTCAGAAAAAGAGCCGGTACTACCAGACAGCCTTTCAAATGGCTTGTGGACTAGTTTTGAAACATTCATATCTACTCAGCACATTTGTATATACACTTACACTAACTGTTAATATTTTTGGACTAAGAACGAGCAGCAACAAAACTATTCTCCTTTCAAAAGTAACTACTGAAAATTAAAACCAAGGTAGTGTAAGCACCCACATGTAATCCAGCTCCATGCAAATTCAGATGAAAAAAAATGCATTCACTGAAAGTTCCAGAGCATTGTATACCATGACACAACTCAGATTCCCTCAGTTTTTGTATCAGAGCAGGAAAAAAACAAAACAAAAAAACCCCACTGTGGTAGACTCAAATTTCAGGTTCAGACAAAATGAAAACTAAGAAAAGAATATACCCCAACCATCAGCACTGCTAAAGTAAGCTTTTTCCCTACGTTTTCACCCCAAGATGTTCAGAACGCAAACTGTGCTTGTCATGTTTCACTTGATGTCTCTCAGAGGAGATGGTGAGCATCACTCCTTACTTACCCTTTCCTCACCACTCACCACACTGAAGGATCCTTATCTAACTACTGTATCACATTTGCAACAAAAGATATTAAAATTCCTAAGAATGTATAATTACATTTGCATAAGCACAGTTGAACACATACTTTTTACTGTCTAAGTTTTAATTTGCCAGCAGTCTTTTAAACAATTATTACACCAATTAATGGAACATGTGATTTTTCTATTAAAAATAGGAAACCCATTTTCTGAAAAGTAAAACATTGGTGAGTGCAAGCCTTTAACAGGAAACATCAAATAACAATTTGTATCTTGGCAGCCACAGAAAACGCTTTAGCACCTTAAAATTTGTTCTTAATTCCACTAAGATGTATTCTGCAGGTTCTTCAGCTACCGATTTATCTAAAAGCGTTCACATTTTCACTTAGAAGCTAGATTGCTAATCAGTCCTTGTCACCTACCTCTACTTTGCTATTTATTGCCTAAAGTCAAGGGCAACAGTAAAGAAGAACTAACATATCCACAGCCTCTGAACAAAACAAGCACATAATGAATATTCACAAAGTCACCAGCAAGTAAGTTTCCAGAGAAAAAGTATGGCAGCACTGCAGTAACGGTTTTATCTTGGCACCAAAGATTTTGAATACTGAATTACATTGCAAAAGGAACAGTGGCTGTAGCATAGCAACTCAGGAGAGAAATGAAAATCCATAATGGTTTTCTCCTCCCATGCAATCAGGAGCGGAAGCAGGCTTTTTGGCAATCAGACTAGACCACACACCGATCTTGAGGTAATATTTTTCATTTCACTACTTGTAATTGTCTGCTACTGTACCTTCCTCAGCTCCTCCTACTGTTTTAACAAGTTGGGGGAAAACCTACACAACTTAACCACAATTATAAGCCCAGGAAGAAAGGAGAAAAATAACGTAATACTATAGGTTTTACAGACCACAGCGCTCTACACCTTTGACAGCTAATTTCAGCTCCAGCTGAGCTCTTCTTTCCTAACTCCACCCTGCACTTTGGAGCAATGTCTCTAACCCCCTCCCAGATAGCCCATCCCTGCCTCCACGTTTATGGTACTAAGGTTTGGAATAGCTTAAAATAGTCTCTCAGATGACCAAAAAACAACCCAAGAAAGGACTATGAAACAAGAAAAAAGCTTCCCACCACCCCTCTCCTCTTCTAGTTCATTTGCTGCTTGGTTCAGTGGCATTCTTCCCTAATAAAAGTCACTCATGTGCAAGTTTATGAAGTATCCAGTTAAGAATGGATTTAAGAAAGCATAGCTTCTATATTTTCCTCCTATGTCCTTTTTGAGGACAGGTTACAGGTCCGACTTTGTAAGCACATATGGGAGTCTCTCTCCCGTTAACATGATTGATTTCCACCAATCAGGAACTTCGTACACAAGAGTCCAAACTACAAGGCACTCTATTATTATGGCAATCAATTCCTCCTTCTGCATGACCAGCCCGGATCGATGATGTCTGAGCAAGAATTGCAGAAAAATAAATACATCCAGAAAAAAATATTCTTCCTATTATAGACTTCCCAGGAGAAAAATAAATATATTCCACAGGGTTAAGTCCCCCCACACCTAATCTTGTAGTAATCTTTGCATGAATAACTGTGTTTTATTTGCATGTTAAATTAGATAGAATGGAACAAAATAAATGGAAAAACATCATCATCTAATGGCTGCTATGCCCTATACCCAAGCTGACTATACTAAACTGAAATAACTGCAAATATCAAATTTAAGTTACCTATATAATGGTACCTATATGAATGAACAAAAGAACATGAATCCACAGAGAAGCAATACAGTCTCAAAGAACAAAGTCCAAAACCAGTACCAGTAAAGTCACAGCTAGTCAAGATACCTCCTGCCTTCAAACAAGGAAATAGATAACAGTTCTTGAATTCATCCCAAATTGAAGTCTTTGATTTAAGAAAAGAAAGTGGGAAAGAAGGTAGAAATTGGGGGTGGGGGGAAGGTGGGGGGAAGGTGGGACCCCCCCCCCCAACCCCTCAATAGGTTCCCAGAAGATTACATGACTACAGCCATCACTGAACGTTAATTACAACACAGGAATCAAATGATCTGATGGCAGAAAACTTGCTTAACGTTCATGGTTAGACCACTTATCTTGGCTTTACATCTCTAAGCAGTTAAACTATTAAAATGACTTAAAAATAAGTCATTACTGCACAGGTAAAACAAAGTATTTTGCTTTACGTTAGCAGTAATTTTGCAACTATGTTACTTTGCTATCTTGGTCTGCCAGAGCAGGATTCAAGAGAGAGTCTATAATACCCCAAAGCTCACTATCTCATATAATGAAAAATTAAGATTACACTGAGATTTAAGCATACATTAAGAATTTCTCTTAATTTCAAGGTTACTGTTTCCTCATGCAATTCTGCACTCTTTCTCTGAGCTTACAGTAGTATCTTCTTTGGTTTAAAAACAGCGGATTTCAATTGTCTTGGCAATATTCAACGTTATTTTCTCTCAGGCTGCATCAAAGTCGAAGTGAAGCAGCAGTGTGTGGCTATCCACCACTGGCACTTTTCTAGTAGCCCTATGAAGACTTGTAGAACATAGGCTTGTCATAAAAACACAGTTAAATTTTCCAATTATTTTCAGTGCAAACAGAACCGTTTGAAGTGTGAACCAATAAAAATATCTCTTCTGTTGAGAAAGAAGGTTCCTATGAGGCTAGTAAGAATCCCTTCAATACACATGCAGGGTAGACTTTCTAGTCCAGCAATAATAATTAAGAGTTTGATCAGCGAAGGGATTTTTTTTTTTTTTTTTACTCATCCGCTATTTACATTTCGTGCTGGGAGGAT